ACAAAAGAAACAATTGAAAAAATTGACAAAACTAAAAGTTGGTTCTTTGAAAAAATAAACAAAATCGACAGGCCCTTAGCGATGCTAGTGAAGAGAAGAAGAGAGAGAACTCAAATTACTAGCATACGGGATGAAAAAGGCAATATCACAACAGACACTTCAGAAATACCGAAGATAATCAAAAACTATTTTGAATCCTTATACTCCAATAAATTAGAAGATAGTGAAGGCATAGATAAATTTCTTAAGTCATATGATCTGCCCAGATTGAGTCAGGAGGATATAGAAAACCTAAACAGACCAATATCAATTGAGGAGATAGAAGAAACCATCAAAAGACTACCAACTAAGAAAAGCCCAGGTCCCGATGGGTATACAGCAGAATTTTACAAAACCTTTAAAGAAGAACTAATACCAATACTTTTCAAGCTACTTCAGGAAATAGAAAAGGAGGGAGAACTTCCAAATTCATTCTATGAGGCCAACATCACCCTGATACCTAAACCAGACAAAGACACTTCAAAGAAAGAAAACTACAGACCAATCTCTAATGAACCTAGATGCAAAAATCCTCAATAAAATTCTGGCGAATCGGATACAAAAACATATAAAAAAAATTGTACACCATGATCAAGTAGGATTCATCCCTGGGATGCAAGGCTGGTTCAATATACGGAAATCAATAAATGTTATTCACCACATCAATAGACTTAAAAATAAGAACCATATGATCATCTCGATAGATGCGGAAAAAGCATTTGACAAAGTACAGCATCCCTTTATGTTCAAAACTCTAGAAAAACTAGGGATAACAGGAACATACCTCAATATTGTAAAAGCAATCTATGCTAAGCCTCAGGCTAGCATTATTCTGAATGGAGAAAAACTGAAGGCATTCCCTCTAAAATCTGGAACAAGACAGGGATGCCCTCTCTCTCCACTTCTCTTCAACATAGTTCTCGAAACACTGGCCAGAGCAATTAGACAGACGAAAGAAATTAAAGGCATAAAAATAGGAAAAGAAGAAATTAAATTATCACTATTTGCAGATGATATGATTCTATATCTAGCAGACCCAAAAGGCTCTACAAAGAAACTATTAGAGCTAATAAATGAATTCAGCAAAGTGGCAGGATTTAAAATCAACACGCATAAATCAAAGGCATTCCTGTATATCAGCGACAAATCCTCTGAAATGGAAATGAGGACAACCACTCCATTCAAAATATCTTCAAAAAAAATAAAATACTTGGGAATCAACCTAACAAAAGAGGTGAAAGACTTATACAATGAAAACTACAGAACCCTAAAGAGAGAAATAGAAGAAGATCTTAGAAGATGGAAAAATATACCCTGTTCATGGATAGGCAGAACTAACATCATCAAAATGGCGATATTACCAAAAGTTCTCTATAGGTTTAATGCAATGCCAATCAAAATCCCAATGGCATTTCTTGTAGAAATAGAGAAAGCAATCATGAAATTCATATGGAAAAATAAAAGACCCAGAATAGCAAAAACAATGCTAAGCAAGAAGTGTGAATCAGGCGGTATAGCGATACCAGACTTCAAACTATACTACAGAGCAATAGTAACAAAAACAGCATGGTACTGGTACCAAAACAGGCGTGTGGACCAATGGTACAGAATAGAGGACACAGAAACCAATCCACAAAACTACAACTATCTTATATTTGATAAAGGGGCTAAAAGCATGCAATGGAGGAAGGATAGCATCTTCAACAAATGGTGCTGGGAAAACTGGAAATCCATATGCAACAAAATGAAACTGAATCCCTTTCTCTCGCCATGCACAAAAGTGAATTCAAAATGGATCAAGGAACTTGATATCAAATCAGAGACGCGCCGTCTGATAGAAGAAAAAGTTGGCTACGATCTACAGTCGGTGGGGTCGGGCTCCAAATTCCTCAATAGGACACCCATAGCACAAAAGTTAATAACTAGAATCAACAAATGGGACTTACTCAAACTAAGAAGTTTTTTCTCAGCAAAAGAAACAATAAGAGAGGTAAATAGGGAGCCTACATCCTGGGAACAAATCTTTACTCCTCACACTTCAGATAGAGCCCTAATATCCAGAGTATACAAAGAACTCAAAAAATTAGACAATAAGAGAACAAACAACCCAATCAACAAATGGGCCAAGGACCTGAACAGACACTTCACAGAGGAGGACATACAGTCAATCAACAAGTACATGAAAAAATGCTCAACATCTCTAGCTGTCAGAGAAATGCAAACCAAAACCACCCTAAGATACCATCTCACTCCAGTAAGATTGGCAGCCATTAGGAAGTCAAACAACAACAAGTGCTGGCGAGGATGTGGGGAAAAGGGTACACTTGTACATTTCTGGTGGGACTGCAGATTGGTGCAGCCAATTTGGAAAGCAGTATGGAGATTTCTTGGAAAGCTGGGAATGGAGCCACCATTTGACCCAGCTATTCCCCTTCTTGGTCTATTCCCTAAAGACCTAAAAAGAGCATGCTACAGGGACACTGCTACATCGATGTTCATAGCAGCACAGTTCACAATAGCAAGACTGTGGAACCAACCTAGATGCCCTTCAATAGACGAATGGATAAAAAAAATGTGGCATTTATACACAATGGAGTATTACTCTGCATTAAAAAATGACAAAATCATAGAATTTACAGGGAAATGGATGGCATTAGAGCAGATTATGCTAAGTGAAGCTAGCCAATCCCTAAAAAACAAATGCCAAATGTCTTCTTTGATATAAGGAAAGTAACTAAGAACAGAGTAGGGACGAAGAACAGGAGAAGAAGATTAACATTTAACAGGGATGAGAGGTGGGAGGGAAAGGGAGAGAGAAGGGAAATTGCACGGTAATGGAAGGAGACCCTCAGGGTTATACAGTGGAGGGGGTAGAGAGAGAGGAGGGGAGGGGAGGGGAGAGGTGGGGAGGGGGGAGGGTGGATGATGGGAAAGGCAGCGGAGCACAACAGACACTAGTATGGCAATTTGTAAATCAATGGATGTGTAACTGATGTGAATCTGCAATCTGTGTATGGGGTGAAGGTGGGAGTTCATAACCCACTAGAATCAAAGTGTGGAATATGATATGTCAAGAAATTTGTAATGTTTTGAACAACCCACAATAAAAAATTAAAAAAAAAAAAAAAAAAAAAAGAACAGCTAGGATTTTCCTAGGCAAGTCAGGTTATACGATTGCTTTTGCTATTTGAGATGCATTTTCTTTTGTATCTCCTGGTTTCCCAAACACTAACCATATAATTAGGTGATTGATACCTATAATGCTGTTGGCAGCCTAAATGTGATGGGTCTGTGGGGATCATGAAAACTTTTCTGAGAACAAATATGTCGAATTTGTTGTTGTTTCATGTTATCTTTCCTCCTAACAGAGACATCATCTCTGAAAATCATTCTTCTGCTTATGTTTGTATCTCTCATTTCCTTATATTCAAAATGCACTGAGATGACGGTGACACAGGTTAATCCCTTTTTCTCTCTGAGCTATAGCCCCCAGTCACATTCTACTTCCATTTTCAAAAATTTTAGTCATCTATATTCTGTTTCAGAAAACCTATGCCTGTAAAATTTAAGAAATGACAATCTAAATAATTGTTGAGAATTCATTTTCTGAGGACTCATATTAAATGCACACATCATCTGACTGCAATATCTGAAAGTGCCATAGAAACACTGGGTGGATCCTGATGGCTTTAAGAAGACTGAGGGATGCTGTGTATGAAAAGACTATGGAAACTGAATACCATAGAGGAAGAAGATGGCAGTTTGGTGGTAAAAGGAAAAACTGGAGTAGTCCAGTTTAAGGAAACGTGCTTTTCCTGTCTAGGCTAGGATATCATGAGATGAGAGTGCCAGTTTTCAAACTAAATTCACAGCTCAATGCACAACTCAGTACATGTCAGAGTAATAGGCCTCTGGTAACTAATTGCCCCTGAGCTGATAACTAAAGCAGAGACCTGCTGAAAGAGATCCCAGGGTGCCTTTTATTAATTATGTGTTATATTCCAATGTTAATTAAATTTCTGTTCAGATATGCCCTAGTTGAGATATTTCCAAGAGAAATAGGAGAATATTCCTAGCCAGCAATGGCTATATTCCAAGAAATAATTACATGGAAAAATCCTGGAAGAATGAACTTACCCTGCTATAACAATCAGTAACTCTTCTTTCTGCAATGGAGTCAACCAAGTTCAGCCCAGAGGCAAGTCTTTGGGCTAGAAAATCTATGTGTGATCCATGTATTTGCTGATTCTAAAGAACCAGATCAGAGAGAAAAAACAAAGCTCTGGAGACTTCTTTTCATGAGAAATAAGTGAGGAATGAAGACCTTTGATTGACTAGCATAGTCAATCAGCAGTTTTAAATAAATTAGAACTATAGTTCTCAAACTGTGTTTCAAAGAACGCTAGTTTCTTAAGATGTCAAAGTTATTCCCAATAAAAACTATCTACTAGCCAAGGAAATCTGATAATAAACCCTCCATGTTATCATTCGTTTTTTCAAAGCTTTGCAGATTATATATATCATATATATATTATACTTTTTCATAAGTATCTTTCAAAGACCACAAAGTAATATCTGAAATTACTAATTTAGAAATGCTAAATCCAAGAAAAATCAGGCATACCAATTTTAAAATGGTGCCAAGTGTTCTGAATTTAGATTTTGGTTGTCCAGATGCCAACGTAGCATTTGTAGTAAGGAGTGTCTTTGTTTGCCAGTGACCATAAGGTGTCATTCATTGTCCAAAGCATGAGAAAGCATCTATGAATGAAACTTTCAAATTTTTTTTTGTGTGTATGATTCTAGAAATAATGGGATTTGGTTCTTCCTGTAACTTTCATTTCAGGTGACTAAACAATTACAGTTGATATGTTGACATGAGCATGTTTGGGGTATTTACTAAAAGGTTAGTGTCAAAAGACATTAATGTCCTGGTGGGCTTGTGTTTTTCTCTGAGGCAGATATTGATGAATGTACAGAGGGGATCATTGAGTGCCACAACCATTCCCGCTGCGTTAACCTGCCAGGGTGGTACCACTGTGAGTGCAGAAGCGGTTTTCATGACGATGGGACCTATTCACTATCCGGGGAGTCCTGTATTGGTAAGCACTCAGTCATACCCTCCATCCACCTGGACTTTTGTATGAGAGGCAGCGTGCTTTGGTACTGTGTTGGGTTGGTTCTCAGCGTTAAAACATGACTACTTACTGGTTAAATTCATCTATTTTCAAATTTCCTCCCTCAACAATTTAGAGATTAGAGCAGGGATTATGCATTGTGTGGTGTTAGAATTTTTTATATAGAAATTGGGGCAGTTGGTAGAACAAAACCTGGGTATGCTATGGGTGTTTAGTTCTGTCTATGGAAAACCAGGAAGACTTTCTAAAATTTTTGACAGTTTGAGAGGCAGCTGTGGAGAAGAGGAGATAGTGCTACAGTTAGATTTAGAAAATTTAGTGTAAATCCTAGTTCTTGTACTTCCAAAGTCTCTATAATCTCTGATACTTCATCTGTGCATGTATGGAAATTGGGATAATAATATACATATGTTAGGATTAAATGGGATACGATGTATTTAAAAATTGCAAGCTTTGATCAATGCACATACACAGTATAGTTGCATTAACCTTATTATTGTTACTATTACCACCACCACCATCGCCTGCAAAGCCACCTCTAATTGCCATTTGCTTGTAGTTCTTTTAAATGCTAAACACAGGAGGTTAACAGATGGAGTTCTTCACCTTCAAGACCTTACAACTTTGATGTAATCCAAACAACTGATTAGAAATCTAACTGTTTCCATGAGAACCTTAGCCAATCCAGGTCTTTCATGTCATGTGGGCTCAGCTGAATTCTTAACTATTGGACAGACCTAGAGGGCAAACATTCTGACTGTGGGTCCCCAAAGTTCAAGCTGATGAATTAGAAAATGGGAATCTAATTGTGAAAATTTATTGTCTCTGCTCATTGCATATCTTTTTTCTCCCTAAAAGCCACTGCTCAAATCCAGTTAGTATTTTTCCACCCTATGCCCTGTGTTGTCTTAAAGTGAAGATGAATTAAGGAACACTGGGCATATAGCATGAATTGTCCCCCCACAGTCTTAACATAACTAGTGAGAGGCATGTAGTGATGTATTATAGTAGTTAAGAGCATAGACCCTTGGGCCAGACTTCTTCAGTCAAATCCCAGCCCTGCCATTTTTGGGGAAAATAGGGGTTACTAGAGATTGAATTCAGAGGCACTTGACCACTGAGCCACATCCCCAGCCCTATTTTGTATTTTATTTAGAGACAGTGTTTCACTGTTACTTAGTGCCTCGCTTTTGCTGAGGCTGGCTTTGAACTCACGAACCTCCTGCCTGAGCCTCCAAATCACTGGAATTATAGGTGTGCACCACCATACCCAACCAGCTCTGCCATTTTTAAGCAGGTTACTTTGGCAAGTTTTTTTCTAATATATACCTCAACTATCTTTAAACTAATGTTTACATCTAATTAACATAGAATTGTGATAATTAATTGAACTCATTCCTGTTCAATATTCAGTAAACGTTAGCTATGATCTTAACTGTCCCTGCATTTTTGACATTCTGCTCTATACTCCCTCCATATCTATTTTATTATGGACATAATGATATATAATTTCATGGGGAGGTTTGCATTTATCCAGGGTCTTCAACATAGTCCTTTTATGTACTTCCAGGTACATCTGAATATGTGCAGCTCATAAAAATAGATGTCATGTGAGTAGAAATAGATCAAATGGCTGTCATCGAGGAATGGAAACAGAATATTAATATATATGATTCTTTGAGGACGAAAGTAAAATTTTAATTTTTACAAATTATATTTGACATCATTGAGAGGAGAGATCCTTAGATTTTTAGGGCATAGGACCTTAGAGATCACCTACTTAAACGAGCTCTATAACTGCTTGGACCTGCCATGGTGCTGTGCCCTTCTGTGCCCTTACACATTGGTCCTCTCATCTGGGATGGAACATGATTCTTCTCTTATGAATTTCTGTTCTTTTCTCTAGATTCAGCTCATTTTTCACCAAGTCCCCATGAAGTATTCTTTGATATGTCTTCATATGAGTTATCATCACTCCTCAATTCTGTTAACGCCAGACTTTTTACCCTGGTGTAGGGGTTTCAGTGGTCTCAAGTATTGTAATACAGTACAATTTCTTTGCTTTCTGACTTGACCTTGAGCTGGAAATGTGCTTGATTTGTCTGTCTCTCCAGTGAGATATTTGGCAGTTGTTGTTCAATAAATCAGAACAATATAATACATCATATGTCTCAGAAAGGATGATACCTTGCTCCTAACCACACAGCTGGTTTGAGACAAGATTAGAACCAAACCTTGGTCAAAAAGTCTATATAACAGATGCCAGGGACAGTCGCAGTTATGCCTGTTGTTGTGATGTAGTTATCACTGGTGTCCTATCATTCTCATAAGTGTCCCAGTTAGGACAAGAGACATTATTGTAATCATACCCAACTCCCATCCCACCAATGCTGGTTTCTCTTTGCAATGCTAAGTGGCGCACGTGTGTGTGTGTGTGTGTGTGTGTGTGTGTGCACACACGTACATGTAACCATGTCTGTGTGAAGTTTCTGCATTCTTTGAGGAGGAACCCGCGTCATCCATGTATTGATCCCTAACTCTAGGAAAAACTTAGAAAACTGTGCATCTGGGTGAGAGAATAGAGTTGTTTTGATTAGTGGCATTTCAATTTGGATCATTATTAATTTGAATTCCTTTCATGTTCATGCTTTTGTAAGTGAACTTCATAAAGACAGAAATCTGATTATCACTCAGTGTTTCTTTGGGGTTTGAGAATATCATGTTGGTTCACAAAATTTCCTGGACCAATAGATGTGCAAATCAGATTATGCTGTTTTCCTACTATGATCATCTAATAATGCCTTCAGCTTTAGGTGATATTGTCACCTATTTCTTGGATTCATCTCTATATGATAGCCTTTTTTTTGCTTTAATTAATTTATTTATTTTTATTGGTTGTTCAAAACATTATAAAGCTCTTGACATATCATATTTCATACATTAGATTCAAGTTGGTTATGAACTCCCAATTTTACCCCAAATACAGATTGCAGAATCACATCGGTTACACATCCACATTTTTACATAATGTCCTATTAGTAACTGTTGTATTCTGCTACCTTTCCTATCCTCTACTATCCCCCCTCCCTCCCCTCCCATCTTCTCTCTCTACCCCATCCACTGTAATTCATTTCTCTCCTTGTTTATTTTCCCATTCCCCTCACAACCTCTTATATGTAATTTTGTATAACAATGAGGGTCTCCCTCCATTACCATGCAATTTCCCTTTTCTCTCCCTTTCCATCCCACCTCATGTATCTGTTTAATGTTAATCTTTTCTTCCTGCTCTTCCTCCCTGCTCTGTTCTTAGTTGCTCTCATTATATCAAAGAAGACATTTGGTATTTGTTTTTTAGGGATTGGCTAGCTTCACTAAGCATAATCTGCTCTAGTGCCATCCATTTCCCTGCAAATTCTATGATTTTGTCATTTTTTAGTGCTGCGTAATACTCCATGGTGTATAAATGCCACATTTTTTTTGTCCATTCATCTATTGAAGGGCATCTGGGTTGGTTCCACAGTCTAGCAATTGTGAATTGTGCTGCTATGAACATCGATGTAGCAGTATCCCTGTAGTACGCTCTTTTAAGGTCTTCAGGGAATAGTCCAAGAAGGGCAATAGCTGGGTCAAATGGTGGTTCCATTCCCAGCTTTCCCAGGAATCTCCATACTGCTTTCCAGATTGGCCGCACCAGTTTGCAGTCCCACCAGCAATGTACAAGAGTACCCTTTTCCCCACATCCTCTCCAGCACTTGTTGTTGTTTGACTTCATAATGGTTGCCAATCTTACTGGAGTGAGATGGTATCTTAGGGTGGTTTTGATTTGCATTTCTCTGACTGCTAGAGATGGTGAGCATTTTTTCATGTACTTATTGATTGATTGTATGTCCTCCTCTGAGAAGTGTCTGTTCAGGTCTTTGGCCCATTTGTTGATTGGGTTATTTGTTTTCTTATTGTTTAATTTTTTGAGTTCTTTGTATACTCTGGATATTAGGGCTCTATCTGAAGTGTGAGGAGTAAAAATTTGTCCCCATGATGTAGGTTCCCTATTTACCTCTTTTATTGTTTCTCTTGCTGAGAGAAAACTTTTCAGTTAAGTAAAAAAGGTCTACAAAAAAACTACTAGAACTAATAAATGAATTCAGCAAAGTGGCAGGATATAAAATCAACACGCATAAATCAAAGGCATTTCTGTATATCAGCGACAAAACTTCTGAAACGGAAATGAGGAAAAACACTCCATTCACAATATCCTCAAAAAAAATAAAATACTTGGGAATCAACCTAACAAAAGAGGTGAAAGATTTATACAATGAAAACTACAAAACCCTAAAAAGAGAAGTAGGAGAAGATCTTAGAAGATGGAAAAATATACCCTGTTCATGGATAGGCAGAACTAACATCATCAAAATGGCGATATTACCAAAAGTTCTTTATAGGTTTAATGCAATGCCAATCAAAATCCCAACGGCATTTCTTGTAGAAATGGATAAAGCAATCATGAAATTCATATGGAAAAATAAAAGACCCAGAATAGCAAAAGCAATTCTAAGCAGGAAGTGCGAATCAGGCGGTATAGCGATACCAGACTTAAAACTATATTACAGAGCAATAGTAACAAAAACAGCATGGTACTGGTACCAAAACAGGAGGGTGGACCAATGGTACAGAATAGAGGACACAGAGACTAATCCACAAAGCTACAACTATCTTATATTTGATAAAGGAGCTAAAAGCATGCAATGGAGGGAGGATAGCATCTTCAACAAATGGTGCTGGGAAAACTGGAAATCCATATGCAACAAAATGAAACTGAATCCCCTCCTCTCGCCATGCACAAAAGTTAACTCAAAGTGGATCAAGGAGCTTGATATCAAATCAGAGACTCTGCGTCTGATAGAAGAAAAAGTTGGCTCTGATCTACATATTGTGGGGTTGGGCTCCAAATTCCTTAATAGGACACC